TGAGAAAGCGAGCAATGCTTCTTTTATCAGGAGATCATCCGACTGGTCATGCATAGCGGCCTCCTAACTGTCACATTGTGATCAAGGAAAATCTCATAGAAAAAAAGGCCAACTTGGATAGCACGACTACTCCTATCACCACTGTGCGAGCCCCTAGTGTCGTCTTCAGTTGTCAATATTCAACACCCGCGTCGAAGCCTTGGGTCCCAGCTCTTGGACCCGACTAATTTGAACGTTGGAGTTTCGGCGACGCCTGCGCGCTCCTCTCCTTCTTCGTCCGCTCTCCTAGGAGTCAGAGTAGAGTTTCCGACCAAAGGTTTGTTGTCTATTGTACGGATTCCATCCGTTTCCCGGAGCGTCATGCGATGATAGATTCTCCCTGTTATATAGGTCGCTCGTCCTTCACTACTCATACTCCCTGGCCTTGGACTACCCAATATTCTACAACATTATCGATAGGAGACGGCACTCGCAAATTCACAATACGCGACTTCACCCCCATCTGTGCAGCACCGCCAAGGAAGTCTCTTCTCAGATTCTGGCGCTACGCTCACATCCTCCTGCGTAGACCAAGATGCCCTTTCGCAAGGTAGCGTCCTCTATCGGGAGGAGTAGAGAAAAAAATCGCGAATCGAGCGCTGCGTCAACGGCCTCTTGGTCACCATCCAATTCGCGATCCCACAGTCCTCTCACATCGTCCGTCTCGCTACCCGACACAATCCTCGCTTCCAATATACAGAGATACCCCTCTCCGACACAGTCCACAAATTCTCGGCACTCTGCAGGTCAGAACCATAATGCTAATTCAACGCCTTTACGAGTAGTCGCCCCATTTGTGTACAACGCACCACCAGCAGCCTATGAATCCACATCCTCACTCGCTAGCGACGAGATAAGAGACTCGGAAAAAAGCAGCTCGTTGCGTATCAAGCGGTCCATTACCAAGCTCCTATCCAGCAAGGAGGAGGCTCCATCGAATCCATACCCCAAGTCGACCCCTCGTGATTCAGGCAAAAAGAAGGGTAAAGAGAATGGTGATGCACAAAGACCTAGAAAGGGGTCCTTCTTTGGCAGCAGCAGCTCATTCTTTGAGGAACCAACTACCAAGTCGTCGTCCAGGCCCCCGTCGATAGCCTCCACCAGTAGTGGGGCGAAGAAACTGGTCAACTGGATCGGTCAGAGTGGAGTTACCAGAAAATTTCAAGATGTCCTTAGCCGCAGTGGATCTTCGTCACACCCATCCGTATCTTCAAGTGCCAAGGCCCGGAAATCAGGCGAATACGGGGATGAGGAGCGTGACGATGCATCTTCAATATCTTCAACTACGTCTTTCGTTCAAAATGCACCAGAGGACGATTTTACGCGCATATTCCCTGAGCCAGAGCCCGTACCGGCGATGCCTTTACCCAACCTCCAGCCTCCATATCAAATACCAACCGCTGTCTACCTACCACGCTCACATACAAACCTCCATGCTTTAACGCTCGCCTCGCTCGCTTTCCCACCTTCTCCGCATCCGCTACTCTATAATCCGAGTATGCCAGCATTCCCCCGATCGTCCAACCCCTCATCCAAATTGCCTCGGTTGCCCACTTTCCGTGCCCATCTCGCCAAAACGCGGATATTAGATCGTTTAGAGGCCCAAGATCTGACACCGTCAGAGAACGAGTCTATCATCCCTTTTGGTAGGCGGGACGACCCTTCGCAAAAAGAGCCCAATACCAGCAATTCAACAAGCGAAGGCGAAGGCGAAGAGGGCAAGCGGACGATAAATGACAACCCAGGAAGTAGTGTGGGTCTCGAAGCATGGACCCGTCGTCTACCATTCTCAGAACGAATTCGGGTCTGGAAAAATGACACTTCATATAATGGGTTCGGCAATAGCGGAGATGATCTCAAATATGAGCCATTGACACCTAGCAGGCCTTTCCGGACAGAGCTCCAGATTTCAGGTGGAATCAAGGCGCTAGCCGGTTTGGTGGCTGCGAGACCATTGTCCATTGATAGAGAATTACCTCAATTACCACCGCCCGAGCCGGTCGTTCTACCAGAGGCACCTCCGACATTGACGCTAGGCCCAATTAGCCCACTGAGCCAAGAGGCTCTCGTGATAGAGGAATCGATGTTAATGGAGAGTAATCAAACACCTCCACCATTTACCCCGAACACAGTCATCGTTCCCTTACCAGCCGTTCCGGTGGCGCTCACATCGCCTCGTCCGCTGCCGGTACCGCCCTCTCGAGCGGGTGTAGAATCAGTGGCGCAGCAAAAAGACTGGGAGGACGACGAAGACAATTTTTCTTTGGTCATCCCAGTGCGACCCTTGCCACCACGTCCCTTGCCTATTCCTCCATCTGCATCGTCGTCTCAGGCCTCGTTAGATCAAATTCTCGTTGTCGATACCCCTGCGGTTGCAACCACAGTTGTTCATGTCTCTTGTAAGCGTTATTTTTGCATCTTCTCTGCCCTACTCACAGTTTACAGCTCCCACGCAAAATACAGTCCACCTCTCTTCTTCTGGACACGACCACTCACAATCTGGATTATTGTCGTCTTCCTCGATGACGTCTGCACCACAAACACCTATGGATTTGTTGGAGACGGAGAGCATCCGAAGACGGTCGATCGGTTCCATAAGTGTAGTCATATCCAATCCAGGCACCGTCTCACTAGAAGAAATGGACGGCTTAGAAGCCACCAATCCGATGGACATTGATACCAGGAGAAGGAGTACAGCTACTCTCAGGATGAGTATCGCGCAAAAACGAATGTCGATGGCATCTCGCAAGTCACATGTATCCCCAATGTCATCTCCTTCCTTACGAAATCATCCGCTACCGCCATTGACAGAATCCTTTTACTCTCATTCTCGGGTATCCTCACAGCGCACCCCTATGGACTCGGCGGGAGGATCTATGGAAAAGCTGTCCCATCAAAAGGGCACCAGCACTAGCTCAACCTCATTTGAGCCGCCATTGGAGTCTCTTGATCAACACAACAGCAGGTCTTCGAGCCCTGCCATTATCGAGTCGGTCAACGCTATGATCAATGAACCCAAGGCAGAAGATCAAAAGTCGTTAGAGCCGTCGCGTATATCGGAAGAGCACGTCGATCCATTCTTCTACCCTGCCAATGCCCCGGAACCCCCTCAGCAAAAGCTTGTCATCAATGGCACATCCTCACCAATCTTGTCCCCTGCGGAAACAGAGAGACTCTTTTCTTCGAGCTCCGAGATGCCAATGCTGACGCTGTCGGTGAATCTTCCCACTCCTACAGCACATAAATATGATCGATTG